AAACTTGCTCTGATACCAAACTGTAACGCCCCGTTATTTTAATAGAAAAATACCGAATTATTTTTCCAAAAATCAGAGTTAATTATTCTAAAAACCAAATTAAAGATTTATTTAACAGGCGCTACTCAAAATTTCACATAACAACAGCTAAGTCCACACTTAACCAAACGGGTAATCAACCATCTCGGAAAAATATCTCAAGCCAATATTTATCATGTCACAAATAAAATCCCAACATAAGAATATTCAACTTCCCATTTAAAAAAAAAAAAAATTCATAATAATCCAACTACATGGTCTGGTTTCCATAATAAATATTCTAACATGGTTCAAATTTCAACATTAATAATAATTAAGTCTAGCAACGAGATAAATAACAAATAAACAAGCGGAAGCAGATAAAACAGTTCAATCTCAAATATAGGACCCGCCTCGCTCGTCTTTCGCTACAACCACCAGCTCAACCTGAAAAGAGATATAATAGTGGGGGTGAGCGAACACTTGCTCACCGTGGGAATACCATGCAGTCTATCCAATATAATGACTTAAAATCATAATCGCAACATGAACACAAATCGTCTAGCCTACTTCCTATACCGCCCTACGCTCGTGTGTACACCCCTAACCATCGAGACACCGCCCATTCACGGGAGCTAAACCGTCGGGACAAGCCCATTCACAGGAGAAACCTCTCAATAGGCACAAATAGGAAAACGTCGGAACTCCATCGACGTGAGAACCTCCCATAGACTAACGGTTCACATGCATACATTGATTATCAAGCCAAGCAATTATAAAGAATAACATACAAGGTAAAGTTTATCAACACCCACCTGATACTGCAAAGGATGACGGTGAAAGCACATTGAAATAAGGGCGAAGGCCTTACTCTTCTTAATCTACAAATTAGGGGTTTAACTATTATTAGGGGTTTTGATTGTCAGGCAAAGCACAAAAAAATTAAACACGTAAGAGCATATACGCATATAATACAGACAAATAATTCCTATAAAATAACCTAGTGCTGTCAATTTAAGCAAATAAAGCCACATAATTATTTTCTACCTCTCTATCTCTAGTTCAAGCAGCACAAAAAAAAAACACAAAAATAAGCTCAGCAAAATAGATACAACTTGGCACAAATATTCAGCATGAACTCAAACACTTTCAGCCATATTAAACGCATGTTATAAAGAAGTAACGAAGATGCGTGACCCATTAATTCTCTTGAATGTCAATTTTAAATTCCGTATAACAATTAAAACTTATGCAAATAGAAATTGATTTCTCAAAATACTTCATGGAAACTTCAGCTGGAAGCTTAAGACAACAATATTGTCCTTTTAGCGCTTGAACTTAAGCTTCAGAAATTGCAAAACCAAAGACAAGATTAATCTTTTCCTTTTTTATTTACTTAGCATAGACTATACTTTTAAGCAATTCGAACACGAAGAATGGGTCAAAATGATTTCCATTCAAACAGTTGCTTATTCACTTAACAGCATACAACGTAAATGACTCCTCAACTAGGTTCAGTGACAGATGCACTTGCCCACAAACTGATAACGTGGGTAATAGCACAGAGATTTAAACCCAAATGAATCGGCAAAATACAATCGTAGAACAAACGTCTACGGCAACCAGAATGAATAAAATGAGATAACAATGTTCCAAATATACTTCAATTCAGCATGTCATAAGCACATAAGGCTCAGCATATAAACCACATAACAATTTGGCCAAAAGCATATGAATCAAGTCTCATTTTCAAAACAATACTAAGCATACCTTTCTCAAATTTCTTGGTTGAACGTAACACAAAATCGGCCTAAAATAGGACGAAGAGCTTCAGCTGACGTACCTTTCACTGTTAAAGGAAAGAAAGAACAGGGCTCGGCTCGCTAAGAAAACGAGGACCCTGCTGTTACACGGTCGCCCATGTCTCACCGAGAAGGCTCGAACGACTCTCCTAGGCTGTTTAAAGTGCCGGGAGGACGCTGCTGCGTGAAGACGATGACAGCGGTTCTCGGGAGCTCTTCTCGGCCACAAAAAGGGTCGAACCACAGTCGTGGGCTGCCCAGGTGTCTTCAGAATCTGCTCAGTCTGGTCGGACGTGGCCGGGCGTTCGCGGGTCGTCTCGTCAGAGAGAAGGGAGGCTCACGACAGGGTTGACGAAGATGCTGCAGTGCTCGAGACGGCCGCTGTTAGATGCCTACGAGAAGAGACGCTTGTGATGGGCCTGTTCGCAGGAACTATGGAAAAGAATTTCTCGGCAATGGCTTAGCAGCGGTTGGTCGGATTGACCACGTAGAGCTCGTCTCTCCTCGGCGTGGCTCCGATTCGACTAAGGGTACGCGACAGCAGCGTTCGGTCTACTCGCTTGCGGGTGTGGTGGCTGAGATTCGCGAGGGAGGGCGGACATCGGCGGGTGCTCAAATCTTTGAGCGAGAAAAGACGACTAAGCTTAAATAGAGGAGGAGGTTAGGGCTTCCTCGAGGCGGCCGAAATGGCGGAAGAAAGTGGCTTAAAATTTGGGAGAGATGCCGGATTCTGCGGAATCCGTTGAGTTTGGCGTCGGCGCGAGGAAGGGAGAGGAGGAGACCGAGAAAAGCGATCGATTCTCAGAATTTTGTTGCTTCTTAAATTGGGTCAAGAATGAAGAAATAAAACTTATTTGGGCCAAAATTAAAGTTGTTTCAAATGCGATTTAGGGAATCTGGAGTTGGCTTCTTGGGCAGCGGATTTGGGCCAACAAAATGATAAGTGGTTTTGCTGAATTGGGCCGAGACATAAACTACGAATGGGCTGAAGCTTTAACAAATAGACACAAGAAGAACTTACCAAAAAAAGAAATAAATTTAAGCACCTACTTGAACACATAGAATTTAATAACACTTAGGGAAAATAATAGAACACTTAGACAAACAATTCAATTAAATACATAAGTATACTTAAGGCAAATAATTTAATTAATAACCATAACGAGCAAATAATAATAAGGCGAGGCAAATAATTTAATTATATGCAATTAAATAATTATATAAAGTCCAGAAAATTTTAATAAACGAACGGGGCGCTACAGCCTTGCTGAGATAGGCCAAGGGTCGTCCTTCCTGCACCAAAACAGCCCGGATTCCAATATCGCTCGCATCCGAGTGAATCTCGAACAACACATCGAACCTCGGCATTGCGAGCACGGGCGTGGTCGTCATGGCCTTCTTCAGCTCCTCGAAAGCCTTCTTGCTTGCCTCTGTCCACTTGAACGCCCACTTCTTCGTCATCTCGGTGAGTGGCTTCGCGATGGTACCATAGTCCTTCACGAATTTGCGATAATAGCCCGTAAGACCAAGGAACCCTCGCAACTGCGTCAAGCTCGCGGGCTTCGGCCATCCCACCATTGCCTCGATCTTCCTTGGGTCCACCTTAACGCCCTCATGGGAAATAAAGTGCCCAAGGTACTCGACCACCTCTTGAGCAAACGAGCACTTGGACGGTTTGATGTAGAATGAGTTAGCCTCCAAAACCCCCAAAACAACTCGCAAGTGCTCGAGATGATCTGCCCATGTTTTCGAGTATACCAAAATATCATCGAAGAATACTAATACAAACTTTCGTAGGTACCTCTTAAAAATCGAGTTCATGGCAAACTGAAAGGTCGACGGCGCATTGCACAACCCAAAAGGCATCACGAGATATTCGTAGTGCCCTTGGTGCGTGCGAAAAGCCGTTTTGGTCACGTCCTCCTTGGCCAACCTGATCTGATGGTAGCCCGCGCGCAGGTCGAGCTTAGAGAAGTAACGCGCGCCACCCAACTCGTCCAACATGTCGTCGACGCTCGGAATGGGGAAACGATCCTTCACAGTAGCCGCATTGAGAGCGCGGTAGTCCGTGCAGAATCGCCAAGTTCCGTCCTTCTTCTTTGCGAGCAACACCGGTGATGAGAACGGGCTCGAGCTATGCTGGATGAGCCCGGACTCGAGCATCTCGCCCACCTGTCGCTCGATCTCTGTCTTTTGGAAGTGTGCGTATCGATACGGATGCACGTGCACTGCTCGACCTTCCTCGACCAAAGGTATGCGGTGGTCGAACTCTCGGTGTGGCGGAAGCCCCTTGGGCTCGTCGAGGACCTGGTCGAACTCTTCGAGCAAGTCACGCACCTCGCACTGTCTCTCCTCGACCGCTTGGTCGAACTCCTTGACCACTTCCGCGTCCTTGCCTGTCTACTCGACCACATGGTCGAACTTCTCGATTACCTCCGCATCCTTGCCTGTCTGCTCGACCACGACAGCATACAACTGTCCGCCACCTCGCCACACCTTCTCGATGCTTTTTAGACCAACCTCCTTGGTCGATCCCTCGCTCGCTTTCAAGGTAACCAACCTATCATCGGTCTCGAACTTCATCACGCCCTTCCGATAGTTGGTCGTTACGTCACCGAGCCCTTCGAGCCATTGCACACCAAGCACCACATCAGGTCCTACCAATGGTAAGGCATACAGGTCCGCCTTTACCGTTACTCCTTGAAATTTGATTGGCACGGCTCGGTACACCTTCGAGCACCGCAGTCTCTCACCATTAGCCACCCGCACCTCGAATGGCTCGACCATGGACGTGGGCAGTTTAAGCTTGTGAGATAGCGTCGCATTAATGAAGTTGTGCGACGACCCATTGTCCACGAGCACAGTCACCCGCTGATCCTTCATCCACGCTGGCAAACGCATCGTCCTCGGCCCCTTGGTACCTGCCATGGCGTGTACAGAGATCTCGGCCTCATCATCGAGCACCTCGTCCTCCACTTCTCGTTCTTCCTCGATCACCAGCTCCTCGTCATCCGAGTCCACAAACTCGATCAAGTAATTCTGCTTACATCGATGTCCCGGTGTGTACTTTTCCTCGCACCGAAAACACAGCCCCTTCTCTCGTCTCCGTGCCATCTCGTCCTCGTCAACCGCTTCACCTCGGTTGCCGGTGGCCTAAAGGCGCCCGGCGGCCTCGCGTTCGCACTAGGTGCGCCCACGGTCGCCGGCACACGTCGCGGTTCCGAGACTCGAAAGTCCGCCCGTCCCCTTCGAGTTGCGGCCAAGTGATCCTCCCGTCTCCTAGAAACTTCCATGGCCTTATGCATGGTCTCTGGTCTCTCCAATCGTACTTCAGCCGCGAAAGCATATCTAAGCCCTCCAACAAACGCGCCAACAAGTGCGCTCTCAGGCCACCCACGAACCCGGCACGCCAACCTCTCGAATTATTTTTGGTAGTCACGTACACTTCCTGTCTGCCGGATCCGAGTAAGCGCCTCGTCGTGGTTATGATAGTCTGAGTTTCCAAAGCGCGTAAGGAGCTCTCGTTCAAAATCTTCCCAACGGATTGGTTGTTGTCGCCCGCGATACACACGCGTGAGCCACTGCCACCACACATTGGCCTCACCATCTAAATAGTACGCGGCATAACGAACCCAGTCACGTTGCGGCATCTCATTTAAATCGAAGAATTGTACTGCCCTGTTCAGCCAAGCGTCGGGGTTGGTTCCCGTGAACGTTGAAAGCACGATCCTCGGCTTCTCAACGCGTGGTCGCTCATGAGCGTTCGACGCCTGCGACCGCTGCTCGTACTCTTCCTCCTCGTCGGGGTGGTGCTCAGCCCGCTGCTGCTCCTGTTGTCTAAAACGCTCGCGTGCATTCATTCGTGGTGGCTCCCGTTGCTGCTGTTGCTGAAACCCGCGCAACACCTCCTCCAGGCGCTGCTCGAGACGAGCCACAGTAGCATTGGTGGTGGTCTGTCCTTCATCGAGTGAACCAAATCGACCCTCCATGCTTTCGCTTATGTTTTTTGAACAACGAAAATTAAGAACGAAAAATTAAAAGAGAATGGGGAAGAAGAAAAACACACGATCTAACACCTCTCAATGAAAGCACCAATGATGAAGATCGTGTGTTTCGATTGCCGATAAGCCGCTCCCGCACCTTAAATCATTCGATAGGTGTTAGGAAGTCGCACACTCGCGGCCTTTCTAACGATTATGATTGCAAAAGAATTCAAGAAGAAAACTAGAGCAAAGAGTTTGTACAAAGTTCGTTTTTTGTATTAATTTCTGAATCCATAAATTAACAAGAGGAAGAGCCTTTATATAGGCATCAACTAGATCTAGTCCTAATATAACTATAACTCTAATAAAGCAATAAAATATTAGGAGTCCTAAACAAACTAGAAAACAAGGAAATAAATATCTAGAATATCTCTTGCTTGCGATTCAAGCCGCTATTGGGCGCGTGCTGCCCTCGCGCGCCCGCCTCGCCTACTCCTTGCATGGTTAGGCCTGCTCGTGCGTGAACCTCCCACCCTTGGCGGAAATTCTCGCGCGCGTCACCGTCCGCGCGCGCATGTCCGCTAATGAGTTGGGCCTGGGCAGCCCGTCGGCTTAACCTCCGTCGTGCATGATAAGCGCGGCTCGCAGCATTCTTTAATCTCCTTGTCGTGTTCTCATCAGTCAGCCCGCACGACTGACAGCGTGCGCACAGGCCCGCTGATACGAAAGTGGTCATCAACCCCGGTGAGTCCGACAATGATGATGGCAATGATCTCGTTTTATGGTTGGAAAACATATTGGAAGAGCCATCTAGTCCTATTCACCGGCCATCATGTGTAATGGATTGGCCGAAAGGATGTGGTCCAAAGGCTGGGTTAAAGCCTAAGAGATGCAAGATCAAAAGAACTCGAAGGAAACACAAGGCAAAAGCTAAAGAAGAGAAGTGTTGGTGCAAGCCTTGTTCGAGGAAGAGACGAGTTCACAAGAGAGTGGCCCGAAGGGGAGGAAAGAATAGAATGGAGGATGGATGGATTTGGAGGGTTGGTGATTGCATTGGGATGGATGGATGGGACCCATGGCCAACGGGCAAGCACTTGGAGTCGGTTGGCGACAAGGGGGCGAACACGAGCAAAGGACGCGCATCGTACCTTGATGCGCGTAAGGGGTCGAGGGGTCGAATGGGCGCACGGGTGAACGACGTCGACGCGAGCAACACACGATGGTTCGCATCGGAGGGATCGACGATAGAGGTTGGCAGTGACGTGCGGGCGTCAGGCGGCGAAGACGCGACGCACGCGACAGGCGAACGCGAGGCGTCGAGCGCGCAGGGGCGCGCAGGCGTTGGCTGGGAAGCAAGTGAAGGAGCGGGCGTACGCGGGTGCGATCAGGTTACGGGAATGGCCGGGACGCGCGGTGCAGCGGGTACACGGGAGCGCGCGGTAGAGGAACGGGACGCTGGGGGGCTGGAGACAACGCGCATGGCACGGGACGACAGCGCGAGCGACACGGGGACGAGAGACGTGCGCGATACGCGTGGGAGTGGCGAGGACGCGCGGGACGCGGGGAGCAGCAGCGATAGGCACGCGGCAGCGCGCGAGTACGCGACAAGCGCGAGAGATCCAATCCTAGGGGGAATAGGCGTAGCGGGCGACGATACGCACGCGCACGGGAATGGCGGCAAGGACGGGGATCGCG